ATCTCATACACACAGATGTGTATGGACCCTTCAGAACCGCCACAAGGGATGCTAACCGTTTCTATGTGACTTTTACTGATGATTACAGCAGATATGGCTATATCTGCTTAATCAAGCATAAGTCAGAAACCGTTGAAAAATTCAAAGAGTTTAAGCAAGAAGTAGAGAATCAATTGGGCAGGAAGATAAATATGCTTCGATCCGATCGAGGAGGAGAGTATCTTAGTATCGAGTTCCACAACTATCTTAAGGAATGTGGAATTGTTTCACAATTGACGCCGCCTAGGACACCACAGCTTAATGGTGTAGCTGAGAGGCACAATCGAACCTTGTTTTACATGGTTCGTTCTATGATGAGTCCAGCTTTGTTACCTATCTCATTCTAGGGTATGCCTTAGAGACTGTCGCCCATATCCTTAATCTATTCCCAACTAAAAAGGTTTCCAGAACACCTCACGAGATATGGACAGGGAAGGTTCCCTCGTTAGCACACATCAAAAGTTTGGGTTGCGAGGCTCTTGTGAGAAAATAAACTCACGACAAGCTCGAACCTCGTAGTGAGCGATGTATTTTCGTCGGCTACCCACAGAAATCCTGTAGATATCTCTTCTATAGACCGAGTGACAATGTTGTCTTCATTGCGAGGAGAGGAGTCTTTCACGAGAGAGAGAGCTCATATGCCAGAAGGACGGTGGGAGGCAAATTGACCTTGAAGAGCTTCAAGAGTTAAGTGATGAAGGAACCTCAAACACTAGCGCTCAACCTGAGGAGGAAGCTCCAGTTGAACCGATTGATGAGTCCTTACCTCTGAGGCGTTCCAGTAGAGTTAGACAGACACGTGAGTTTTATGGTTTCTATATTACTTCTGATGGTGATACATTTATCAGTGATAGTACACTAGTAAATTTGGATGAACCTAACAACTACAAGGAAGCCATGGCAGGCCACGAGTCTACTAAATGGAAAGAGGCAATGGACAGCGAGATTCAGTCCATGTATGAAAATCAAGTTTGGAACTTGGTTGACAATGTACCAGGCCGTAAGACAGTCGGTGCAAATGGATCCTCAAGAAGAAGACCGACATGGATGGGAAAGTACACACTTATAAGGTGTGATTGGTTGCGAAGGGCTTTACTCAAACTCCTGGAGTTGACTATGATGAGACCTTCTCACCAGTGGCTAAGATTAAATCTATAAGGGTTATGCTAGCCATAGCTGCATTTCATGATTATGAAATATGGCAAATGTATGTCAAAACTGCTTTCCTTAACGGGAAGTTGGCTGAGAATGTTTACATGAATCAGCTAAAGGGTTTTGTCGATGCAAAGTACTCTGATAGAGTGTGTAAGCTTGAGAAATCCATTTATGGATTAAAACAAGCATCTCGCAGATGGAATCTTTGTTTCGATGAGAAAGTTAAAGAGTTTGGCTTTTCGAGAAGTGAGGATGAGTCATGTATATATGTCAAAGCTAGTGGGAGTATAGTTAGCTTTCTCGTGTTGTATGTGGATGACATACTGCTCATAGGAAACGACATTCCAACCTTGCAAGAGGTTAAGTCCTGGCTTGGTAAGTGTTTCGCTATGAAGAACCTCGGAGAAGTTGCTTACATTCTAGGGATAAGGATATTGAAAAACAGGAGTAAAAGACTAATAAGACTTAGTCAAAGTACCTATTTGGACAAGGTGTTGAAACGTTTCAACATGCAAGATTCCAAGAGAGGAGAATTACCTATCCATAGCAATGTCAGACTGAGTAAGACTCAAAGTCCGAGTAATGATGTTGGAATAGTATAAATGAGTCAAATACCATATGCTTCTGCTGTTGGCTCGATCATGTATGCTATGACCTTTACTCGCCCTGATGTAGCCTTTGCATTCAGCTTGGTTAGTAGATATCAAGGGAATCCTGGTAAAGCTCACTGGACTGCGGTAAAGAGCATTCTTAAGTACTTGCGAAGGACTAAGGACTGGATCCTTACCCTTGGTGGGAGTGATGACTTAAGAGTGGTAGGGTATAGTGATGCCAGCTTTCAGACCGACAGAGATAATTTCCGCCCTCAGTCGGGCTGGATATTTACCCTAAATAGAGGAGCAATAACTTGGAAAAGTTTCAAACAGGAGACTGTAGCTTATTCAACGTGCGAATCCGAGTATATAGCAGCGAGTGAAGCATCGAAGGAGGCGATATGGATGAAGAACTTCATCGGAGTCCTTGGAGTTGTACCAGCTATAAAGGAGCCCATGGAGATTTTCAGTGATAGCGATAGTGCAGTTGCCTTATCCAAGGAACCAAGAGATCATAGAAGATCAAGACACATCAACAGAAAATATCACTTCATAAGACATCAAGTAGAAGAGGGACTCCCCCATGGTTAAGAGGGTATCGTCATAAGAGAATCCAGCAGATCCCCTTACGAAGGGACTGAGTAGGGTTAAGCACTTGCGGAACGCTAGTAGTGTCGGGCTGAAGGACGATATTAGTTTTAGTGATTAGATAGACATTTAGAAACTTGTAATAGTTAAAATGTAATTGACATTTGATGATTGAATAAAAGGTGTTTTTATTTATAAGTAGTGTTACTGTCTTGTGTCAATTATTTACTATTGTTTCATTTTTTGCATGTTTTGACTTCCAAAATAATAAGATTATTCAAACTATCCACAGTTGATCATACTTTGGAAGTAGGTCATGAAAGAAGACTGTCATGAATGGGTTTTTGTATGATTTTCTAAGGTGTTATACATAGCAAAATATTGCTACAAACATTCATGAGTGCTCTTGAAATAAGATTTGAGTATTGGACTAAACCCACGCTCACATATCACTTCATGGAATTTATCACAGGTGATTGTGAGACGATAATATTGTATAATCTTCAAACCAAGATATATGAGTTGGCGATTATTTGTTGATTGTACATTAATAGTGCGAAACCACATCAGTAACTCGATGTAATAAAATCTGCTATTATGTATGATTCAATGAATAGTTAGTACAAGCATATAAGTAGAAGTTTATATGTTCCTTTTATCCTATGAGGATTAAAAGCGATATCTTGGGCCCATCGATGATTTTCTTTTGACTTATGTGTCGGGCCCAGTCAGGACTCTATTGATGTGTTCAATTAAGTTCTATGTCGAACAAATCAGATTTCAGGAAACAAAATGTTGGACAATGAATATGACTTTAATTCCATGTCTTTGTCCACACGATATCTTGTAGAACAGAGGATTATATGATCACTTATCTAATGGACGCGTCAGAGTTCGACAGCGGCTTTTTGAGAGCTACGATTGCTAATCGGATTTTAAGTAACATTGGCAATTACAGTTATTAGACTTATCCAAGTGGGAGACTGTTGGAAAAGGTGTCTAAGCCCATAACTATAATTGGCACGTACTTGACCCGATAGTAGCATGGTCCATTTGGGTTGCATTCATCAAAGCAATATGTTAGGAAGGATATTTGAGTAAGAGGTTAATTATGATTTATTAATATATTATAAGTATAATATATTAATTGAGGAATCATATTATTTAATTAGTATTGATCAAGAATTAATTTAGTGATCAAAAGAGACTAATTAAAATGATACATATGAGTTGGGCTAAAGATCCATGGTTTGATTTGTGATGGGCTTATGGGTTAATCCATGAAGTATTTATCCAAATCAAATGAATGGATCATGGGCTAATGTGTATGGATTAGGGTTACACATGACCCTTGATATTCTACATATATATATATATATATATATATATATATATATATATATATATATATATATATATATATATATATAATATATATATATATATATATATATATATAGAGAGAGAGAGAGAGAGAGAGAGAGGAAGGATCACTTGAGAACTCATAGTTTCCTGAGAACCCGAGAACTAAAACTGGAGCGTTGGATCAAGAAAAAGGGATGGTCAAGATGCACTGTGGCATTTTTGTAAATAAGTGGACAAATAAAGGGACGGGGGCATCAGAATTAAATGGAATCAGGGGCATTTTGGGGTTATAGAAATTGACTCATACACATACGTCTCCTATCACCATTCTCTATCATATCTCTCTCTCTCTCTCTCTCTTTCTCTCTCTCTCTCTCTCTCTCTCTCCACCGTATATCTTCCCCTTGTCTCCATCCTCCCTCAATCGGTCCACCGCTACGTCCGTCGACGATGAATGTCGGCTACCACTCAACAATCTTTCATATCCAGATCATCGGTGAAGAATTTACGAACCTATAGATCGACAATGTTTGTGTTCACCTTCAATTGCGATATTTGAAGCCCTAAATCGCCTAATTCATGATCATCGATTCATCGAGATCGATCAACAATGATCTCTCATGCTTTTGTAAGCTTCAATTTGTCATCGTTGATCAGCTCCTGGGATTAAAAAGTCAAGCATATGACCATGGAAATTCATTTAGGAATGTATCAGAGCACTTGATAACGACCATGGCCATATTCCTTTTAGAGGAAGTAAGCTCACTGAAGTTCTTCGAGATTCCTTCGTTGGAAACTCACGAAATGTTATGATCTCATGCATTTCACCAAATTATGGATCTAGCGAACACACTCTAAACACATTACGATATGCAGACAGGTGAGAAAATCGATTATTGTTCGTATTTTTCTAAGAGCGTATAAAAGAACCCTAATTGATTCGATTTGTGACGAGATTAGGGTTAAGAGTCTATCGAAAGGTAACAATTCGAGGAAGGATTTATTGTCTTCAACATTTAATCTTCAAAATTCAATCTTGTTGCCTGTATTGCGTATTCTTCAACATTTAACCTTTTGCATCAAAATCTTTAAAACAGCATCACCATGTATTCTTCCATTACCTTTTGCTACAAGTTCAGGTATTTTAGTCACACTCACGGGTTTCTTTGCCGCATCATCATCAACCCTTTTTCCATCATCAACACATTCCATCTTTTTACTAGTAGCCTCAGTGTTTCCCTTTTCACCATCAATAATATTTCAGTTTTTGGGACTTGTAGATTGTACTGATGCAGGGGATGCAGTTGAATTAAGATTTGTTGATTCTTCTGAAGTCACAATAAGATCTTCAAGCATCCTTTCGATTTCATCTACCCCGTATACTTCAATTACATTTAGTGTACAATAAAATTCTAACCCATAATGACTGATTAAAGTCAAATTTAAGTATCTAGCCAACTTGGATTCAGGCAACTTAAAATATTGGTCATGTTTAACGTTTTCAGCAACAAAATCTCCAAGATGATACCATATTTCAGTTGGGAAAACCAAGCTTCCTGATAATGAAAACTGTTTGAAATTAGATGAATGGTGTTCAAAATTTGAAATCTTTACAGCATCAACAAGAGTTTCTTCTGAAAGCTCAATGATTACATATTTCTCCACAGCAGAACAAGGGTTTCTTAGATTTTTGTCATGATCTAAACCCAAGATGTTGCTTGCTCCATTTGCTTCTTTATTGTGTGCTAAAACTTTTGCACCCTTGGATGTTGATGCATAGTTGTAATCGGTTCCATCTGGCTCGAGCCTGTGGGTTATGTTGACTAACCCACTTGGTGCACCATTTAAACCAATATCTTGTTGTGTGTTGTTTCTAAACTCATCAATATCAAGATATGTGAGATGGGCCCTTCTATTTTGGATGTCTTCTTGTTTCTTTTCCATGTAACTATCTTGAAGTTCTCTCTCACAATCGTATGCAAGGTCCTTTGGAGTTCTTGGGAATCATCTTGGTCAACAAAGTCATGGTTTCTGCTGGCCTTAAGGACCTGTAAGATTCTTTTTCACAGATTTATTTATTCATTTTTTTTAGAATCTTAACTACATGGGCTTTGAAGATGTAAAATCACAATATTATCTCTTTCAGGTGGCAATCATTACACCTTTTAATTTCCCTTTAGAGATCCCTCTACTCCAATTGATGGTCCCTCCATATCGATTTATTGGGTTCTGAGTTTTTTTTTTTGTTTTGTTTTTTGTAAATAGCAAATAAGTATATAAATGATCAAAAGCAAACAAAGCAATATTCTAAGTTTGAGGATACATAAACAAAAGTTTAGGAACATGAAAATTGAGGAAAAGAAATTACGAAGGATAAATACCTTGTTTATTCCATTCTTTCCCCTGTGTTAAAGGACAAATACTCCAATCTACATTGTTTATTCCATTCTTGCCCTTGTGTTTATGTCATTCAAAAGTTTGAGTGATTATATTATTCAAATGTTGCAGTTTGCTGAGGCTACATACTGACTATATTGATCTTTATTAACTCAATCGATCTGATAGGTTTGTTGCCCCTTTAATATAACTCCATTAACATGAAGTTGTGTAGTGTGTATACAATACATATATGGTTTGGTTCCTAGTGTTTTTTTTTTTTGAAATTGTTTGATGTAGATATGTTCCAATGTTTGGAGAAACTGATTATGATCCTATCAGGCAATATATGCTAGTTAGTTTTGATGAACAACTTGATGCTCTAGGGACAACAATTGATGTTGGTAAGGTTGGTACTGTATATTCACCATCGCTAATCATCTGTATTTGTACTCGAAATCAACTTTAACTAATGATAATGAAAACTTTTATGTGAAATGGGAAAAAGAAAGTTGTCAAAGGTAGACAAGATATTGGCAAAAACCAACATAATTTTTTTGAGAAGCTCACTATTGTACTAATTGCTACATATAATATTCAAAATCTTTTTAATTTAATTATTCTTTATCTTCATTTTAGAAAAAACACAAAGAAAAAGTAATTTCTAAATTCAATTTTTTTTGTTCTTTGTTTCTAGTGAATTGAGCTTGGAATTCCTTTCCTGGAAACAAGTTCAAAGATTCCACCAATGTGGAACAAACTTTCATGGCCACGACTGCTTCCATCAAAGGTACTCAGTATTTTCATTTTTTCTTTTTTTATTAAAGACCAAAATGCTCTCATTACATATACAAAAATAAATAAAAATTTTTTTACTTTTATGCATTTACAATAAACAAAAAATATTTAAATATAAATAAAGATTTCATTTTTATTATTGAATTCCATTCCGCCAACCAAAATTTCACATTCCGATTTCACTTCCAATTCCAATCTTGAATTTACATATCTACATTTGTAGTATTCCAATCATAACAATTTTACAATCTTTAATTTAACTATATACCACCCTTAAAATTCACATGTAAATCACATGGAAATCATGTATGAATTACATGTAATTCACATGTAAATCACATGTGAATCACATATGAGTTACATGTGATTCATATGTAATTTACATATGAATCACATGTAATTCACAAGTAAATCACAAGTGATCCACATATGAATTACATGTGATTCACATGTAAATCACATGTAATTCACATGTAAATCACAAGTGAATCACATATGAGTTACATCTGATTCATATGTAATTTACATATGAATCACATATAATTCACAAGTAAATCACAAGTGATTCACATATAAATTACATGTGATTCACATGTCATTCACATGTAAATCATAAATGAATCAAATATGAGTTACATGTGATTCATATGTAATTTACAAACGAATCATATGTAATTCACAAGTAAATCACAAGTGATTCACATATGAATTACATGTGATTCACATGTAATTCACATTTAATCACAAGTGAATCACATATGAGTTACATGTGCTTCATATGTAATTTTCATATAAATCACATGTAATTCACTTATGAATCACATGTAATTCACAACTGAATCAAATATGAATTACATGTGATTCACATATAAATCACATGTGATTCACATATAAATCACATTTAATTCACATATGAATCACATGTAAGTCACGAGTGAATCACATATAAGTTATGTCTATATGCACACATGCATTTTGTGTGAGTGCTCTTCGTTTTTATTTTCTTGTGAATTTCACATTTGAATTTTAAAAGATACAATCACATGTGAATATCACATTATATAATCAAATGTGAATCTTACATGATATATGCATATGCATTTTTGTGAGTGTTCTTGCATTAATCATTTTTTTTTCTTGTAGATTTGAAAGATTTTGTGGAAAATTTTGAAGATGCAAAAAGTGATAAATTGAGGAAAATATGAAAATCTTGATATGAAGAAATGATAACATTGTGAATCTTTGTAGCTTTTTTTTTATTTTATATATTATTTTGTATCGAACAAAATACTTGTACCATTATATTTATAGATTGATTAATAAAAATAAGATCTTTTATGATTTACTTACGAATATTATAGTATAAGATCTTTTATTGAAAAACTATGCATATATGCACCAAAAATGTTGAGTTTTTTTTGTTAAAAAAATTAGATTTTTTTTAATATTCTAGGTTTTTTTAAAAAAAATTTACTGATTTTTAAAATTTTTTACTTTCTAAAGAAATGCAGTTTTTTAAAAAAAAATTGGAGTTATTTTTGAAAAAATTGCAGGTTTTTTTTTTGAAAAAATAGTAGTTTTTTTTATAAAAATGCAGTTTTTTTATAAAAAAATTGAAGGTTTTTTTTAAAAAAAATAGCATTTATTTTTTAAAGAAAATACAGCTTTTTTTATTTTTTAATAAAGCATGTTTTTAAAAAAAAAGTTGCAGTTTTTGTTTGAAAAATTTTGCAGCTTTTTTAAAAAATTACATTTTTTCATTTTTTTTTTTAAAATTCATGTTTTCTAAAAAAAAAATTTAAAAACTCCATTTTAAAAAAAATCAGTAATTTGATTTATTATGTTAATTTTGTCCAATAACACAAAAAAATAAACATTAAAAGAGATCGGTAACATTACGATCATGCCCTTAATGAGTTAATTTTGATATAACGCTCCACCTTTAGTTCTCAGGTTCTCGGGAAACTATGAGTTCTCAACCGATCTCACCTATATATATATATATATATATATATATATATATATATATATATATATATATATGTGTGTGTGTGTGTGTGTGTGTGTGTGTGCGTGTGTGTGTATCTCTAAGTCCAAAATCACCACTACTTATGTTTTAAAGAGTGAGAACCGATTTTAGAGTCTCCAGAACCTCTCCATATTCATCCTAATTGTTCTTGGTGTTTTGTGATTCCATTTGAGGCATCATACTTGGGATGCTAAGCTTTCTTGAGGCCAAGTTATTCAAGCTACTACACAAGGTAATATTCTAACTAGTTTTTATGATTCAAATATTACCTTGCATGCTAGTTTAGGCTTCATGCTTTGGAAAATGTTTATTGCATGTATAATTAGAGAAAACTTAGATCCAAAGCATTAGGGTTGTATGCGCACCATAGGATTGTTAGAGTACATAAAACCCAACAATGTTGGTATGACATTTGCATGGAAGACCCCGGGGGTTCCCGTGGCAGTAAATTAAGACCCTGTGGGGGTTCCCATGGCATTTGGTGTAAGACCTTGGAGGGTTTCCATGGCATCCTAGTATGTTTGTATGTTTAGCTTGCATGATATTTCTTTGGTTAGCTAAGACCATGTAGGGGTTCCCATGGCAGTTAGTGAAGACCATGTGGGGGTTCCCATGGCAGCTAGTGAAGACCATGTGGGGGTTCCAATGGCAGGTAGTTAAGACCATGTGGGGGTTCCCATGGCAGTGGGTTAAGACCACGTGGGGTTCCAGTGGCACCCAGTGTAAGACCTTGGAGGGTTTCCATGGCATCCTTATATGTTTATATGCATGGTTTATGCAGTTTATGTAGCTATTATGGCTGATATGGTTTATGTGAGTATGTGGATTGTGTGCGGTATGCTCTGGGGAACTCACTAAGCATTAGCTTATAGTTTATTGGTTGTTTCAGGTACTTTAGGATCTAAGGGCAAGAGCCCGGCGTGATGGCGTGGCATACACTCTCCGGTGTTTTATTTGGGGACACTCTGATATTATGAATAAAATGTTTGATGTTATGGATTTTGAAAACAATTGTGATTGGAATTTTATATTTTATGGAAATGATTTCGTTACTTAAAAATGAAAAAATTTTATTGGAAATTTGGGCTGTTACACATGAATTTCCAAAAGTCAATGGACTTTCACTACAACTTCCTCTGCCCCGATGTTGAATTAACATGCTGATGCGACTACTGATCTTCCAAGCGGTACCCCTAATTTGCTTCCATCGATTGCCCACAAAAAAGTGCCCGACAATCTAAATCCAGCTCAACAAGACGTGCCCCACTCATAACTCTTGGCGTGCGGAATGGCATATAACGACCCTTGATAATGTTAACCAGGAAATTACAGAGAAGCTAAACCGAAGAAAATGCCTTACACATACAAGCACATGTATACGAATAACAAGGCACGATGAAAACAAAATATAACATACCCACGATAGCACCTGATGAAACTCTGGCCTCTCCCGACTGAGGCTGCAATGCTCGCCTCCTCACTGTTGGGGCTTCCGCCCTGCCCTCACGATCATAAGTGATCCTCAAAATAGTTGGAGCAGGTGCCCTTACTGCTCCACTCATCAACCTTGGACAATCGGCCTTCTTTAAGCCCACTTAATTGTAGTGAAACCACATTGGAACCGATCCTCAAGGACAATCCCTACTGAAATGACCCATCTGAACATAACAGAAACATCGCCTCCCTATATCCTATCAGTCTCCCTCATGGGTCCTCCCACACTTGGCGCAATGGCTCCGGA